AAGTTCTTAGCAATGCATTTTACTAATCAAAAATTAAGTTTTAATATATTTACAGTAGGAAATTTACAAAATATCTTCATGGAACATTGAACTTTACTTAATATCCTAATGATTTTTGGCATAAAAGAAAAATCTATAATTTTGACCCATACAATGTATTTTTGGCTATTGCTAGAAATATACCCCAGCGACTTAAGACTAGGTTTTGTGCTCCAGGGTCACATATGTGTTTTTTCTTGAGCATCATATTTGCAACATCAGCCTTTTATAGCTTATATAGTACAACCCCAATTCCAGAGAAGTTGGGACATTTTGCTCATTCTCTTTAAAGGGGTCATATGATGCGATTTCAATTTTTCCTTTCTCTTTGGGAGTGTTACAAGCTCTTGGTGCATAAAGAAGATCTGTAAAGTTGCAAAGACTAAAGTCTCAAATCCAAAGAGATATTCTTTATAAAAGTTAAGACTTGTCCATGCTCTCCTAAAACGCCTCGTTTAAACACGCCCCCACATGTCTACGTCACTGTGTGGGATGATTTGCATAACGCCGCCCAAATGTTCACACAAAGAAAGAAGGCGTAACTTTTATTCTCACTGTAGTTAAAGCGAGTTTTTTGGGCAGTGTAGAGTAGGGCTTGTTGTTTGTCATTTCTCCGATCACAAATGCAGACATGGTTTTATGTTTACGCGGCGCGATGCAACGCAACGCGTAAAAAGACAGTGTAAGTCATTATAATCCATAATTATGTCCCCACTGGATTCAACGAATGCCTCTTTTATAATGGGTTTTCATGTTTTTGAATCATCGCTCCGGCCTGACAGGGCATCATCACAATATGGTGAGGGGCGTAACATTTCCGTCTCACGCTTGAGGTATTCGGCCAATCATAATGCACTGGATAGCTGGCCAATCACAGCACACCTCGCTTTTTCTGACCGATGAGCTTTGTAAAAATCGACACGTTTCAGAAAGGCGGGGCATAGAGGCGAAACAATAATGTACAGTATGTGGAAAATAATGTGTTTTTTTAACCTTAAACCGCATAAACACATTTCATTACACCAAATACACAAAATAATGTTCTTTTTAGCAACATCATATGACCCCTTTAACTTGACAAAAAGTACAAAGAAATTATTTCCAAAGTTTTCACTGACCAACGTAAATGTATTTTGTAAATATGAAACAAATTTTGATTTTGATCTCTGGAATTGGGGTTGTATGATATAGTGAGAATATGGAGCTCATACTCAAACATGAACAAAAAAACTATTAAATTTTATTCTAAACAGAGGCAAAAATATGCATTTTGTGTAGATGTTAATATTTATATGGCCAAAAAGTATGCATATGAATATCAGTCACTCTATGCCTCCCAAAATAAGTCTTGATATTTAAATGCTTGGTTTTATGATCAAAGCTCTGTAGTTTCAAAATGCGTTATGCAATGCAATGATGATTGAGAGATGAACAAATAAAAGATCCTCAAAAGCCTGATGATCATATTTGATACTCACATTTTAACATGATAATAACCTAAATCGCTTCAGTCTTGAAATATTACTAACAATATAAAAGTTATTTTTGTGTTCACGTTATAAAGATCAGTAAAGATTTCACAGCAAGAAGACACGCTAAACACGAGCTGAAAGTGGACATTTTTACAATTATACTAAAACACTCGCTCAAAGAGAATAAAGTATCAGTCGGACGACAGAAAGGCATGGAACAGATTGTGTGTTTTGATCATTTAGAGGCATCAGAAAATTGCATATCAAGTATGATAAAGTAGACTTTATAGGGTGAACAAATGGCAATGTATGATGTTAAGGCCATTTTAATGTCCTTTGCTGAGTGCATGACTGATATATGGAGTGTTTCAGGCGAGTGATTTCTCACCTGTTCAGTCAGGAAAGAGGGTTTGTAAGCGCCGTCAGTTGACGTGTTCCCCGTTCCCCTCATGGACTTCATGTGTGAGACGGCCATGCGCAGGATGGTGAGCTTGTCTGGTTTCCTGGCTAGCGCGCTGCAGGTGGGCACCATGTCCGACAGCTCTGTGATGTACAGGGTCATCTTATTACGCCGGCGACGCTCAATCTCACTGTGGTTCTCTCTGGATGAAGAGAGGAACAATACTGCCATCATTAGCATGTAGTGAGAGCTGCACAGCACTTTTACAACTACAGGTCGTGGATAATTACCATTAAGGATATCAAAACCTCAATTTTGTTCAGTTAAAATTGATATAATAAAAGAATAATTTTGTAATATCATGCACTTTATATTTTAATGTATTTTAAATATTTTATTATATAAGTATTATTAAATAATGTATATTAGTATTATTACTATAGATATAATATTACAATATATACAGTATATTATAAAACATAATATTAGTATTAAAAAGTTGTGTGTAGTTATATAGTTATAGCAATGAAATAATTATTATCATCTATATACAGATGTTCAAATGTTTGGGATCAGAAAGATTTTAAAATGTTTTTAAAGAAGTTTCTTATGCTCATCACGGCTGCATTTATTTGATCAACAACAAAAAAAAACACTAATATTGTGAAATATTATTACAATTTAAAATAATTATTTTTTTAATATACTTTAAAATATAATTATAAAGAATATAATATAAAGAATTTTCATCACCCATTGTCTTCAGTGTCACATGATCCTTCAGAAATCATTCTAATATTTATTATTAATGTTAGAAACAATTGTGCTGCTTAATATTTTTTGGAACCTTTGACACTTTCAGGAATCTTTGATGAATAAAAAGTTAAAAAGAACAGCATGTATTCAAAATAGAAATCTGTTCTAACAATAGAAGTCTTTACTATTACTTTTTATCAATTTAACATATAAAATATTTATTATGATATTATCATATCAATATTTTTCACAAAAAAAAAAAAATTACTGACCCCAAATTTTTGAACGGTAATGTATACTGTTGTAATTCAATAGAATATTATATATTATATATATATAGAATATTATAATATGTCTGTGTGTGCGCATTTTTGAGATCCTTCTTTCGCTTGTATAATTGCAATTGCATAATTACCACCTACCTATGTCTGCTCTCATGTACTTATATGCATTCGATGGTGACCTTGATTGATAAATACATCATTATGAATTACTATAGAGGCGACATTCGGGACCCTCAATATACAGAAATAAATTTATTTGGCTCATGCTTTCTTTTCAAACTTAGGGGAAAAAAAGGTTTCTTCCTTGGACTGATCAGTCGCAACACTTCTTCTTCAACTGAAACGTTCAGTTAAAAAAGTGCCAGAGAGGACAATTGAAGACTTTTTTACTTCATTTCTGTGATTTAGCTGAGACTCTCAATAATCTGAACGCTGACAGATGTGAACCAATCTTTTAAGTGGAAAATGCAAACTGATAAATCTTGGGAGGCCAGGCCGCTGTATTAGTCCACGGAGCGCAATGGCTCAAAGCAACGTGGCAATTTCAGATGAGAGTGTCAGCTGAGGATAATTAAATACCCATTTAAGATTAGATCTAGACAGAGTCGCTCGTGTGAGGCCAAGGTCACTCCTGACGGCGGCAGGGGCCTGATTTCTAGCTATCCTGAGGGAACCTGCCCAAGACAGCCCTACCTGGCATAACGCTCCTTATCACCGGGAATCTGATCATCGTCATACCTGACGGGAGAGAGAAGAGATCAAAATAAGATAAATCAGCCTGAAAATGTCTGTTACATCACTTCTAGATTTTATGATTGTGGCTCAAATGGAGTGATCATGAACCGCATTTGAATATGGTAATATAATAATGGACTGTGACCAGTGGATAATGAAAATCAACAAAAAAGACAAACTAAACAATCTGAGGTGTCTGTATCCCAGGATATAAACTCACTTCTGTATGAACTGTTTCATAAAAGTGCCTCCGAGAAGTATTTGGACACTACAGTTGAGTTTTACAGTAATATCGCTGAGATAATAATAATAATAATATCCTTAACAGGGGGGCAAACACTTCTTCACACAGGGCCATGTAGTTTTGGATTTTGTTTTCCCTTAATAATAAAAACCTTCATTTAAAAACTGCATGTTGTGTTCACTTGTGTTATCTTTTACTAATATTTAAATTTGTTTGATGATCTGAAACATTAAAGTGTGACAAACATGCAAAAAAATAAGAAATCAACCAACACTTTTTCACACCACTGTATATATATATATTTGGAAGTCATGTTGTTTCAAACCCATATGCTGGTTTGTTTTTTTGTTTTGTTTTTTATGAGATTTGATGATATTTTGAAGCTTTTGGTCACTGACGACAAATTTCAGACACAAAGTCCTACAAACAGTGCATTGTTCATAACTGTTTTGAAGAAAGCAATGCTTTATCTTTGGAGTATAAATTATCGTGTACACTGTAAAAAATAAAAAAAAAAACTACTGAAGTACAAATCACAGGATAATCCTATTTCAGTCTTACATGTTTTCAATTTCATGTTTATTTAATAGTTTGCTTGCCATTTCTTTGTAATTATTAGTAAAATGTACTAGCAATGTCTAGGTGAAAATTTTTCAAAAGTAAATCCTACACATTTCCAGTGTATAATTCAGTGGAAAGAAGCAGCATATAGGTTTGGAACAATGTGATGGTGATTATTTAACGAAAGCCATTTAGTGAGTATTATTAGTGAGTAATTGCTCCAAGCAGGAGAGGACTTGCTGGAGTGTGTCCTGTATCTCCAGCAGGAGGCAGTGTCTCCATTCCAATGCTAGCTAAATGTGTGGCGTCTTTACCGTCAGGAGCAGCGCAACTATGGATACAGCTCCTTTAAAAGAACATGAACTGAAAGGAAACCATAAGTTGAGGGCAACATAACATGAGCGATGTCTTGAAATGGCACAAACGCTGTGGCACAGCTGAAAGACACGGTCAAACAACAGAAAATATAAAAGAAAGGACATGGTGCGTGGTCTGATTTGTTTGTTTGGAAAGCTTGCAAACAATGGAAAAAGTTTGCCTTGAAAATTTGCTGGGTCCCTCGCCGTCCTCGTCATCAAAGTCCATCCTGAAACAAGAAAACAAATACACTTGCTCATTTAAAACGTTTATACATGGGCAGCTTATGCAACAGAAAAACTGCTTTACATGAATCATAATGAACTTGAACAGAGAAGCTAATCAACAAACCACAACACTGTAAACAGAAAAGCCAATCAAACTAAATACAGATAACAGAAACCAATCACAAAACATAGTTTTTGGAAAAAACTAAGCTTAGAAAGCAGATTATTACAGTCAGTAACACTGTTTACAGTCTGCTACATAAAACATGGTCAACCTACTTGTAGAAACTATGCTGTCAAATATCAGAAAGTACGAGGAGGAGGTTCTGGAACCAAATTTCACTTGCTTTCTGGCGTGAGGGACAGAAGTTTCCATCTGTGATGAATTAAGAACTGACTGAGTATGAGAGAGGTTTTATTAATCAGAACCTCTCTGATGTCGTTGTGTGGGCAGGTGAAGTGTGTTCTCCATGGAAACCACCTCTTGTTAGGGGACAATATTCATGAGCACTGAACAAAAACATGGCACGATCACGAAACACAGCGTTTCCACTGTAGGAGTATTCGATTTAAATTGAAGTTTAACAGGCTAAACATTAGGTACTTCTTAAATTATATTTGAGATCATTACCTATCATTGTTTCCACAGTAGTTCCTCTCTTAAAAGTGAACGAGGCAGATAACAGCCAGGCCACATGTGGCCTTTTAGAAAGGCATTCTTTCAACCAATAACTAAGCATGGAAATTTCCATTAAAAATATTTTTAAAAAATGAAAGAAAAAAATATTTTAAATGAAAAAAGTCATTTTAAAAATATTTTTTACGAAGAACTGATTTATATATATATATATATATATATATATATACCGTATTGT